AACACGATGTGCTGGTGATAGATGCCACACACACACATGCACACACCACATCAAGCACAGAATTCATCATATATGTGCTTTAACAGACGGCCATCTGCTGACGGCACTGGCTGCAACCAAAAATAAACTGCATGTGCATTTATTTAATATTTATTTATTCCACTACAGCTGATATTCACTTCAGAAGTCACACGCAAATCCTATTTCGCAAACACACACACACACTAAGGAACCATTCATTTCTGAAATTCCTGAACGTGCTCACACTTTATTTTAATGTGCAATTCACGCTATTAACAAACCATTATCTAAGACTTTGAGCTCAATAAACTACTAATTAGGTGCTTATTAATAGTTATTAAGGTTTAGGTATTGAGATAAGAGATGTAGAATAAGATCATACATTATAAATGCTGATAATCTGTTTAAATATATAAAGATAAAGACAAGATTCGCACTCTATAACATCAGAAAGGTCCGACCCTTCCCATCTGAACATGCAGCTCAACTCCTTGTTCAAGCTCTTGTTCTCTCCAGACTGGACTATTGCAGCTCTCTACTAGCCGGGCTTCCAGCTAACTCTATCAAACCTCTTCAGATGCTCCAGAATGCAGCAGCACGAGTGGTCTTCAATGAACCTAAAAGAGCACATGTCACTCCGCTGCTCATCCGTTTGCACTGGCTGCCAGTTGCTGCTCGCATCAAATTCAAAGCTCTGATGTTTGCCTACAAAGCGACTTCTGGCTTTGCTCTTTCTTACCTGCTCTCACTTCTGCAGATGTATGTGCCCTCCAGAAACTTGCGTTCTGTGAATGAACGTCGCCTCGTGGTTCCATCCCAAAGAGGGAAGAAATCACTTTCCCGAACACTCGCATTCAATCTGCCCAGTTGGTGGAATGAACTCCCTAACTGCATCAGAATGGCAGAATCACTCGCTGTCTTCAAGAAACCACTAAAAACTCAACTATTTAGTCTCCACTTCCCTGCTTAATCTGCAATTGCCTCTCTGGTTCTACCGCTACCTGTATTACAAAAAACAGGCTACTAATGTTTTGTGTCTTACACTTTACACACCTGAAACTTGCCTATTTTTACCATTGTTGCTCTTATAGTTGTGTAAATTGCTTGCTTTTCCTCATTTGTAAGTCGCTTTAGATAAAAGCGTCTGCTAAATGACTAAATGTAAATGTAAAACTTAATAATAGGCAGGTAATAAGTCAGTAGTAAATAATGTGAATTGTTTCTTAACCAGTTAATCTCTGTTTAAGTTAAAGCTTCCCAAATCCACATGCAGAGGTGTAAATGCAAAAATTTGCTATCATTTTAAAGAAAACCCTTTGAATTTTCATAAAACACTATCGAAAGTGTTTAAAATATCTGTATATGTTGTCTGTGTTATAATAAACACCTAATAAAAGAGGTGCTTTTTGTATTTTTTTTATAAACTCAAATTTGAAAGTGTACCTTTTAGGTTGTGTGTGGTCTAGTGTGCTGTAATTAATGTTGGTGGTTCCTGCACATGTCTGTAATTATAGGAAAAAAGAAACATGTCTCCACCATAATCTATGCAAAAGTTATTGTATTCCAACTGATGAGATGAGAGGTGCTGTACAAGCCACAGGGAGCGATCATTGTCTTCATATTTCACTATTCTTTTGTTTGATCAAACATAATTCACCGTGTTTGGACCAAGTTAGACATATAAAAGGATTACTTATGCACATCACCTCAAAAACAGAGGAGAATTTTCCTGAAGCGCACAGCATAAAGTAAGAGATGCAGTGGCGTAGCGGACGGGCCCGCAGGGCACGCACCGCGGGGGGGCCCCGCGTGATTAGGGGGCCCCGCGTCGTCGCGATTTTCAATAAACTGTTGGGAACAACTGTGGTCGGAACCAAAGTTCACAGGTCTGTGTTCTCTGAACACCTCTCAAGCGGTGGACTACTTCATTTTGATTGCTTGCCGCCAATGTTGCCAACTTAGCGACTTTGTCACTAGATTTAGCGACTTTTCAGACCCCCCTAGCGACTTTTTTGTGTGTTATTGGAGATTTTTTTAGACTGTCATTTTTCCATACTGTAGCGTCCCTACTCTTCTCAACGAGCTGCGTGTGATGCCGCCGGCCCCTCCCCCGCCTCACAGCACTGACAGGCGGCCCAGTCAGTCCTCTACAGCAGCCTCTCCCACCTGCAGCCCGAGAGCAGATCACCCCTCTGCGTACCGACGACAAATGATTTAGCACATGCAGTGTGAAGGTATTTCCCTTGTACAGTCAAACCGATCTACTTCTACTTTATTTTAACAATTTAATTGGACCGTTTATTCTTTTCTTGTTCACAATCACAGATATTTTAGTGACAGTTTCTGAACTTGTCTGAGTTTATTTCATATGAGAGATTACTGCACATTCACTAACGTTACACATCTGTAATGATATACTGTATTCAAACAGCAATAAATTTAGTTAAATAAACATGCTTATATAAAGTGTAGTGCAATTATAAATACCTCTTTATTAACCATAGGCTGTTAAACAGAAACGGTAGAACGTGATGACGTCAGTGATATGCAAATGGACGTATGACGTATCCCCCCCCCCCCCACCCTCATCAGGGGGCCCGTCAGCGATCCCTGCAGGGGGGCCTCCGCATTTTGCGCTACGCCACTGAAGAGATGACGGCTGTCTGTGCTATCTGGGGCTGCTTATTGATCATAAATGTATTGTTTTCCCTTCTGCGCCATGGAAACACCGCAATTCATTCAACAACTGTTTGATATATGAATATAATTCAGTAAAAAGAATGCTAGAACCGTATGAGCAGCGGCAAGAGCTTTCATTTGAGCTATAACTTGAACATGTGTCATATATGAACCATATGAAAATAAACCAATGTTCAACACCCAGCTCGGGTATCCAAAATACTGTGTATTTAAGTGTAAATAACTTTTGTACAGTAGAATAAAAACCAAAGTGATGCATGTGTGCATAAAATATAGATTCTAGACTTTCAAACTAAACCACTTAAGGGGGTCTGGTGCCATGCCAGCCCGTTCAATCATAAAGGGAAAGTCGATGACGTCACAGACCCGGTACAGTGTCTGCGGAGTTTAGCTGGTTTAAAGGCACCTATTTTACCCCTATTTCAAGATTTAATATAATTATTTTGTGTCTCCAGAATGTGTCTGTAAAGTTTCAGCTCAAAACACCCATTTCTTATTTATTAGACCTGTCTAAATCTGGGAAATTTGAGCTGTTAAGACACTGTAGCTGTTTTTGTTGCCTGTGCCTTTAATGCAAATAAGTTGGTTCCCCACGTGTTCCCACGTGCCTGTCAGAGCCATTCAGATCTCTCGCTATTGCTGTGATGTGTGTAGCCTTCAAGTAGATAAACAGCACAGTGACAGACAAGAATAAAGCAAATCTCCCTTACTACAGTCAGAACTTTCCCAGCTGTTATTTGATGTATTTGTTGTGGAGTTTATTCAAGCCTTTCTGCAATGATGAGTCACACACAATGTTGTTATAAAATTTGCACACAGGCACACACACACATACACATTTAACACATTTGCACTGTTTTTGTATGGCAAATGTGACAGGATACAGGTTAATATCTACTGCTGTATTGACATCCGTCATGTTATCGTACAAAATAAACCTGATTTAGCAACTGTGTTGATGAATAACAGCGATTTTACTGTCTTTATTACAAATCTGCACTGTTCAAAAAATGCTTTAAACTTGTAAAGCTCATTCTTGAGCTGCAGATGATCACAGAGAGCTGAACAGATCTTTTAATCCCAGTTGCTTTGCTTTGTGCCTGTCCTGTCTTGTGGATATGTTTATACGCATTACCACGGAGACATGTTAATATGAGTCTGTCAAATCAATTGGGTGGGTGGGGAAACCACACTCCTACATCACATCGCGGTCGGCCAAAATAAGAGGGATTTGGATCCTGTTTTAACATCAGGCAATAAAAAAAGAGACTTGTGTTTCTATCACTCCAATATGACAGTGGACTCACTATACCCACACACAGTTCTGTCCAAACAGCTTTCAAAAGATGATTTTCATCACAGATGCCCTTTAATAACCTGTTTAGTCCCACAGGAATCAGTAAAAATGACATTTCCAGATCTTCTCCAATAAAATACTGAGATTTTTTAGCTTACTTAGCAGATTTAAGTGGATTGAACATCTTATAATTAAGTTGCCCCAATAAAAAACTCAAGAATTATATTGTTTCAGCATATTTTAAACAAGTACACTGCAAAAATGCTAATCTTACTTAGATTGTTTTGTCTTGTTTCTAATATCTACAAATTCCTAAATCAAGGAGCATTTTTAGGACAAGCAATTTTATTGTCAAAATAAACAAGGAAAAACAAGATTATTTTGCTTTCCTCAAGAAACGACTCACTTCATTTTTGACATTTTATTTCCTAAAAAAAGACAATGTGTTTTGCATGTCTAGAAAATGCTTCTTGATTTAGGAATTTGTAGATATTTGGACTAGAAACAAGACAAGATATCAGTTGCAGTGTAGTTTGAACAAGAAGCACAATCATTTTCAGATTTTTTCGTGCAGCAATCTCATACATTTCCTCTGGGTTTGTTTTAAAGAATAAAAAGATGTCTAAAACTATGAGAGGGGTCTGGATGCAGACCTGGTGCAGTGCAATCTGAGCTGCAACCGATGCTTTTTAATGCGGTCACCTAACCCCACCCCTATTCACTCCACTGAGTGCATTGTGTCTGACATTGAATCGCTTAGTGATGCAGTCTCACAGTGCATCATAAAGGCTGCATCCAGATACTATTGAAAACTGTTCTCAGATCTGGCAAAACACAAACTTCCAATCCAAAGTCACAGATTTCAATATTTCTCATCATAAAAAACTGTCAAACTCTCACTGCAGGATGACTTCTGACTCTTTTTGTCCAAATGACAAACATCTGAGATAAAACACTTATTCTTTAGTGTAGAGTCTCTTACCTGACAGTGAATGCTGGAGTCTCTTCCATATGAATACGACACTCGCTCCGATTTACCTGTGTAAAAAAGAAGAAAGGACAGATCAATATCAACTCAGTTTTGACCATTCATTCATTCATTCATTCATTCATTCATTCATTCATTCATTCATTCATTCATTCATTCATTCATTTATTCATTCATTCGTTCATTCATTTACTCATTCATTCATTCATTCATTCATTCGTTCATTCATTCGTTCATTCATTTACTCATTCATTCATTTATTCATTCATTCATTCATTCATTCATTTATTCATTCATTCGTTCATTCATTTACTCATTCATTCATTCATTCATTCATTCATTCATTCATTCATTCATTCATTCATTCATTCATTCATTCGTTCATTCATTCGTTCATTCATTTACTCATTCATTCATTCATTCATTCATTCATTCATTCGTTCATTCATTCATTTTCCTTTGACCTTGTCCTTTATTCATCAGGGGTTGCCACAGCGGAATGACCTACCAACTTATGCAAACTCTACACAGAAATGCCAACTGGCCCAGCCGGGACTCAAACCAGCGACCTTTGTGCTAAGCAGTGAGCCACCGTGCCACCCTATAGAATCAAACATAAAATATAATTTTCTTCATCTTTTAAATTTGCATAGATGAACAACCTACATGGTAAACTGAGTAAATAAAATGTGGGCCTGTAGCTTTAATTTGCGTGGACAGCAATAGTGAAGCTCACAAACACCTTCTCAAGACCTTCAAACATCACAGCAGGTTAGTATCAAAACATCTGATTTGATCAACAAAATCAAGACAAAAAAGACACAAATGTTTTGCAAAAAAATAAATAAAATGAAATATAACCATAATGATGCAATATTTTGAATTTGGACTGCAATACCTCGTTCAACCACTGGGAAAGGTTAATCCTACACTGTGTTACCCTCAACTCCAATTATCTCCCCACCATGTGAAATATTACCCACAATCCCAAAACCAGGAAACCTTAAAATATTATGCATTTTTTAAGTGTCCCTCACACAGGTTGAGTGGGCTTTACAAACAGCCTGTAGTAACAAACTACCTACATAGTAAACCGAGTAAATAAAATGTGTGCTTGTAGCTTGAATTTGCATGGACAGCAATAGTGATGCTCACAATCACCTCTCAAGACCTTCAAACATCACAGCAGGTTAGTATCAAAACATCTGATTTGACCAACAAAATCAAGACACGGCTGCTCTGCAAAAAAACCCCAAAATATATATGTATATTTTGTATATTCTGCAACACCTACATCAACCACTAGGTTGAATCAATCATACACACTGTTAAGAGCCCTCAACTCCACATCTGAAATATCCACAATCCCAGCTTCCAAAATTTGGAAACCTTAAAATATCATGCAATTTTTGAAGTGTTCCTCACACAAGTGAGTGGGCTTGACAAACCACCAGTAGAAAACATTTTAACCAACACTTGCAACAAAAAGCTTAGAGCTTTTGTCTAGTTTGTAGTACAGATATCTACAATTATGAAATCAAGAAGCATTTTTTAGACAAACAAAACATATTAGGTGTGTCCCAAATCGCATACTTATGCACTATTCTATATCATTTTGTAGTATCAATAGTGTAAGTAGTGCGTTTACATTGAAAACTAATTAAAAATAATAAGTGCACTTTAATTACCTGGATGATGACCTCATTGACCGGTAAAATGAAGTGTGTAATGATGAACACTTCACACACTCAACGACCACAGCTTTGCTCACGTAGCGTAAGGGGCGGAGCTATCGGGCACACATGTTGGATAACTTTATTTTGGATTGTGAAAGCAAAATTGTCCTATGAGAGTGATTGTAGCGCCTCCCGGTGGAGTATGCAGTAATACTCACGCCAGGTATTATTTGGTACTTTGTTCATTTATTTCACTGATTTGGCAAACGTCAAATGTCATCTGGGAAACAGGTTTAATTTCCACTTAGTAAAAAACATTAGTGCTCCATTTGGGACGACACTACATACATGTACTATGCTGTTGAGTGTGTAAGTGCATAAGTATAGTGCATGAGTGCATACTGTGCCATTTGGGTTGCAGCTTTTGTTTGGTTTTAAGAAAAAAATGTCAAAATTATGGAGTTTTTCCTTAAAACAAGCAAATCTATCTATCTCTCTCTCTCCTTTTTTTCTCTCTCTCACACACACACTGCAAATATTGATAAGTCGTGTGACCTCATCATCCAGTCTTAATCTAATGAGCTCAATTACAGGGTCCTGCTCATGTTCTCCTGCTTCTCTGTTCTGACACACACACACACACACACACACACACACACACACACACACACACACACACACACACACACACACACACACACACACACACACACAGACTCCAGCTCTGTCTGCATCCTGAATAAAGACAACAGTGCTGTTTACTCCGCAAATGTAACGAAGCCTTTGACATTGCTGACAAAATTGCCTGACACATACACACTTACAGTATATATTGCACTCTAAAATCAACTGATCAAGCAAATAAATATAAACAAAAAGTTAAACACACACACACACACACACACACACATGCACGCACGCACGCACGCACGCACGCACGCACGCACGCGCGCACACACACACACACACACACACACACACACACACAATGATGTTTCTACTGTGCACACTGTGTATTCTGTATATTCCTTACAGCTATGGGGAGTCCTCATAAAGATAGCTTATGTAAAAACTGCTAAGGTCAACATTATTATCCCCCTTAAACAATATTATTTTTGGATCGTCTACAGAACAAACCACTGTTATACAATGACTTGTCTAATTACACTAACTTTACCCTAATTACTCCAGTGAAGCCTTTAAATGTCACTTTAAGCTGAATACTAGTGTCTTGAAGAATATCTAGTCTAAGATTATGTGCTGTCATCATGGCAAAGAGAAAATAAAAGTTATTAGAAATGATTTATTAAAATTATTATGTTTAGAAATGTGTTGAAAAATATCTTTGTTAAACAGGAAAATATTTGGTAAATAAAAATAAATGAATAAATAAATAAATAACAATCAAATAAATAAATAAACAAATAAATAAAATACATGACAAAAACAAACAAACAAACAAACCAACAAAAAAATAAAATAAAAAAATGAACAAAAACGCAAATAAATAAATAACAAGCAGGCAAATAAATGAATAAGCAATTACAAAACAGAAAAAACACACATAAATAAATAACTAAAATTAATTAATCAATTAATAACAAAACAGACGAAACGCAAATAAATAAATTAACAAAAACAAACAAAAACACAAATAAATAAATAAATTACAAAACAGACAAAACACACTAAATAAATAAATAAATAAATAGATAAATAAATAAATACAATTAATTAATTAATCAATTATTACCAAAACAGACAAAACACAAATAAATTAATTAATAAAAACAAACGAAAACACAAATAAATAAATAAATAAATAAATAAATTACAAAACAGACAAAATACACTAAATAAATAAATAAATAGATAAATAAATAAATAAATAAATACAATTAATTAATTAATCAATTAATAACAAAACAAACAAAACACAAATAAATAAATTAACAAAAACAAACAAAAACAAACAAATAAATTAATGAATAAATGCAATCAAATGAAATCAAATGAATAAATAAACAAATAGATGAATAGCAAAACAGACAAAACACAAATAAATAAAAAAAATATAAAAAACAAATAAATAAATAAATTAATTAATAAATTCAAAGGAGATGAATAAATTTGTTTTCATATATTGTATACACAAAACATCCCAGCGGGCAGCTTGACGTCAAAGCAACATAAAAAAAAAAAAAAAAAACTTTTAAAAAACACATAAAAAGTACAAATCAATCTAATTTGACATGTAAATAACATTAAAGTCAAAAAAAAAAACTGCCAACTGCCGTCAGAAAAAGATTGTAAGACCTTGCAATGATTGACCTTGGACATCATTTTGACATCAGGGTAGTCTACATGATTGCAGGGTATAACGTGTGCCCGTAATTGCCCTTCCAGCCACAATCTAAAACACCCATACACACTCATTCAAACACACACACACACTCATACACTACGGCCAATTTAGTTGATCAATTCCCCTATAGCGCATGTGTTTGGATAGTGGGGGAAACCGGAGCACCCGGAGGAAATCCACGCCAACACAGGGAGAACATGCAAACTCCACACAGAAACACCAACTGACCCAGCTGGGACTCCAGTGACCTTCTTGCTGTGAGGCCACATTGCTAACCACTGAGTGAAACTGAGTAAAACCAGTGAAATAAAATATATTTTCTCCTTGTTCTGGACACTGAACAGTTCCCGAGGACATGTGTTGTGTTTTCTTTGATTCAGACACACATGTTTGTACTGTAAATCCTGCTGTGATTCTGGAAGTGGGAATCCAAAAGAGAGCTGGAAAAGGACAGGAATGCCACAGTCAGAACATCACTCCGGAAAAACACACACACACACACACACACACACACACACACACACACACACACACACACACACACATTGAACACAGATGCTGCGGCATGTGTTGCTCAATCGCTCTTCTGTTTGTATATTAGTTTTCTTTCAGCTTCTTCCAGTGTATCTGCCGAGTTTTAACATCACATTTCAACCCCTGCACTGTAAAAATGAACAGTTTCTGGTTTATTTATGATTGTGAATTGCATTATGGGATGTTGATCTCTGCTCTGTCAATGTTTGCTGTTGAAAATCTATGGAGATTAACCTTTTTTGACATTTTAGTCATTTGAAATAATGTATAAGAAATAATATATAGAGAAATAAGTGTAAAATAACAGAAAATGTGCTGCAGTTTATCACAAGATGTTTGTAGTGTAATATACAACACCAACCCAGACAATGTGGCACTGCACACCATTGAAGAAGATGTCAATGAAAGTCACTTTTTACAACATTTTCAAGATTAAAAGTTGTTGTGAAGAAAGCGGAAAATACACTTTTGCCAT